AGGGGTCTAATAGAAAGGGACACGAGAACACTTTAGGGTGAGGAGATGATGCCGTATCTTAATTATTGTGGTGACGTGATTCTGTACAAGCACTCATCAAACTACACTTTTAAAATTGGTCAATTTTAGTGCATGTAATGCCTTAATAATAATACCTTAATAATAATAACATAATACCTTAATAGGCATAAAAGAGGAGGAAATGGGCAAGATTTGCCTAGACCTATTCATTTGAGGCAACACCTAAAGTTCTAGAAAGGGGACAAATTGCAGCATTTACCATACATGGTAAGTATCACTGGTCTATTAAGGACACACAGATTGGGTTCAACTGTCACCATGAGAAAGAAGTGGCAGTTCCTTGTATACAATTCAGGATGCACTTTGTACTAGTAGAAATGAGAATCTGAAAATCTGGAAGGATCGAGGTAGCCCACTTTTCTCTTTTGGTTGCTTGATCATTCAAAAATCCAGGGCAAATCTTGCCATGGCTGATGAATACTGCCTAAGAGACTGTTAACTCCCATAGGGAGGTGAGTGTTTAATGGAAAGGCTTTATGCAAGGTGGACTATGTCTTCTTGATGCATGAAAGTACCTGTGTCACTAATGAAGGCTCTGAGACCAGGAGTCCAAGAGTAATTTGTTCAAATGAAATAAAGCCTGTTAGTCTTGCCAGTATTCTCCTGCTTCGTTGCTTAACACCAACCGGATGATGTAAGCTGTCCGTTTCTTGTTTACAGGGATGTTTCTAAAGAGGCAGTCAAACATTGCCTCAGTCTGGTTAGGAATAATGAGGCCACTGCCTGGGTCTTAATTATATCACCGGCAGAAGTCCAGTGCCAGAGGAGAGTAAAGATAAAGAGGAAAGCTATCCTCTTTTTGAGGATGTTCCAAAGCATTCAGAAACATGTGTCCTTAAAATAAAGATGATAAGATTCAGAAACACCCATATGAACAGGAGTCTGAAATGCTGGGGTTTTGTTGGTAGTTCCACTTTTCCTTTAGAGAGCAAAGCTACCTGGTTGGAGAGGGAAAGGAGCTCTAGTTAGCTGCTCCTTGATGGATTTCAGAAGCCTTAAGGTGACACATGAAAGATCATTCCTAGGAATTTCTAGTCAATCTCCAGAGGAGACACAGAGCCACACACTCATTGGCATCTAAATTCTGCGAGTCCTCTTTTCCCACAAAGGAAGTTTCTCTACTTTGCTGTGTTCAGAACCTTTCTACACAGGAGAATTTATGTTCATCTTTATATTCTTTCCACTCTGTTACTACTTTAAAAAAACACAGAGTTCAGAGCCAGACATTATCACCATCATCATCAACATCATCATCATCATCATTATTATTGTTACTATTACTTTTAGATTACTGCTATTAAATAACTTAGGAAAAGTTTGCATATCAGTCTTGAACCTTAGATTTTGAACGAAGGGGGGATGGTTTGGGAAAACAATGTCTACCTGGAAATTTATTCTATAATGGCATAGAAATGTAAGCTGAAAAGATTTTTAGAGTTTATTTAGTGCAGCTCCCTTATTTTTAATATGAGGAAACGGAAACACCTTTACCCTTTTGAAGGTAAAGCAACTTGACCAAGGTCATGTAGTGTATCCAGTGCAATGTTTTTTGGATGTAAAGAACACAAAACCTGACTTATATTATAAACTGACCTAAACAATGATCCAATTTGTCTTACTAAAATGAAGGACATGTATAGGGCGGGAGTATTAGTTTTCTAGGGATTCTGTAGCAAAACACCACGGACTGGGTGGCTTAAATAAATATGCTTATCTTCTCATAGTTCTAGAGGCTTCAAGGTGCCAGCAGGGGTGGTTTCTCCTGAGGCTTCTCTCTCTGGTTTATAAGCGGCCACCTTTTCTGTGTATATGCATCGTTGGTATCTTTTCCTCTTCTTTTAATGACACCAGTCCTATTGGATTGAGGCCCACCCATAGGCCCTGATTTAACTTCAGTTATCTCTTTGAAGACTCTATCTCCAAATAGAATCACATTGGCAGTTAGAGTTTCAACTTATGAACTTTGGGGACACAATTCAGTCCCTAACAGTGAATGCAGTTGAGCCTGGTGTTTTCTGTTTGGGGTGGTTATTAATTATTTATTCCATTTATTTGAGAGATACAGGCTTATTCAGATTGTCTATTTCTTCTTGTGTGAATCTGGGGAAAATGTATCTTTTAAGAAATTGGTCCATTTAATCTAGGTTATCAAATTTTTGGGCATAGAGTTGTTCATAGTACTCCTTTATTATACTTTTTACATCCATAGGACCTGTAGTGATGTCCTGTCTTTTGTTTCTAATATTTGTAATTTTTGAACTTCTTGCAGTTCTTTTATTCTTAGCCTGGCTAGAGGCTTATCCATTTTATTGATCTTTTCAAAGAAGCAGCTTTTGTGTTCATCGATTTTCTCTATTGAGATTCTCCCTTCAATTTTATTGATTTCTGCTCTAACGCTTATTATTTCTTTTCTTCCGCTTACTTTGATTTAATTTGCTTTTCTTCTTCTAGTTTCCTAAGGTAGAAACTTAGATTATTGATTTTAGATCTTTCTTCTTTATATATATATATATCAGTATATATATATATATATACACACACATATATATATAATCAGTATATATATAGAAATCAGTGTATATATACATATATATATAGAATCAGTATATAAATAAGTATATATATGTGTGTGTGCTTTTATTTCCTTTCTATTTTGTTCAGTTGATCTATTTGTCTACTTGATGGCCATACTATACCGTTTTAATAACTGTAGGCTTATAATGTCTTGAAATTATGTAGTGCTAACTCTTCAACTTTGTCCTTTTTCATTTGTTTTTTTGCTATTCTAGGTTTTTTGAATTTTCATATGAATTTTAGAATCGGATTTTCAATTTCTACAAAAAAAGTCTGTTGGAATTTTGATTGGGATTTCATTGAATCTATAGATCAATTTGGGAAGAATTGATAATAATGTTGCATCTTCTGATCCATGAACATGGTAGACCTCTCCATTTATTTGGATCTTCTTTAATTTTGGCTCAGCAATGCTTTGTAGTCTTCAGCAGATAGGTCTTTCACATCTTTTACCCCTAAGTATTTTGTGGTTTTTGATGCTATTGTAAATAGCTCAAGCCCCTCTCCTGTAAGTCAACCCATTACATGTGCAAATGTTATCTAGCTCTTTTTGAGTCACTCTGTGGTGGGGCTCGGAGAAATGTCTAAAAAATTGCTGATACTCTTGCTACTACTATTGCTCTGAATAATAAATAATCTGCCCTTCCACTCTTACCCAAAAGTCTTGTGTCTTCTACCAGCATTCATGAAATTTTGGCAGGCTTCTTGTTACGTTGCAAATAAGATAAAATCTCATACCCTTAAGTTTTTGATAGATACTCTAACCAATACCCTGTGTGTTGTGAGATTTTGCCAGTCTGGCTGGTGGGAATAGGCACTATTCCCAGTCCCACGTGTGCATAAGTAGCTGTTGACTCTAATTCTTTTGGGTGGTTCTTGGGTAGTTTCTCATGTGTATGTGTTGATCAGTGCTGACCTAAATCCCTGAGGGAGCCTCTTCACAGATCTCCTGAGTTGTCTCTCTTATCTCTGGTACTCTATCCTGCTAACTCTAGTTGCCTTGGTCTTCCCTGACTCTCAGCTGTATCTTTCCAACTTGAAAAGTCTTCCAGGCTCAGCTTTGATCCCCTCTCTCTGTGCCCAGGTCTGGAAACTTTCTCCAAGCAGTATGCTGAGGAGATCATGGGATCACCTAGTTTGTTTCCCATCTCTCATTGGTCATTATCCTTCATTATCTAATGTCTGGTTCTTGAAAAATGTTGCTCTGTTTATTTTGTCTATTTTTTGTTTCAGGTGGGAGGATAAATTTGCTCCCTGTTACTCCACCTTGACCAGATGTGAAAGTCATATGAATTCTTCATGTAGTCATCTCAAAATCGATTTTCTGTCTTATTCACATTCTATTTACCTTTATATTTTGGTCATTTTCTTAGATACACAGTTTTTGGTTTTTATATAATTACATCTATTGTTCTCTTTTTCAGAATTACTTCCATTGATTTTAAACTTGGAAAGTTGTTTCTACAATCCAATAAATCAGACTTTCACTTCTTTTTTTTTCCTTATATTTATTTCATATTTAATTCTGGAATTAATTTTAGGGTAAGATGTGAGCCTCTAATTTCTTTTCTCACTAAACTGTTAATTTTACTAAAATAAGTTTTGCAGAATTTTTCTCTTCTCTCTTTTCCTCGTGATAGTTCCTGCATAATATTTTAAGTTTTTACATATTCTAGAATTTGTTTCATTATCACTTATTTTTTCTTTTGATCTGTACATTTTAATTATTGTAGCTTTACGTATAGTATATTCTAATATCTGAACAGGCAAGCTTTGTCTCAAGACTCCTCTTTTTAAAAAATATTATTATCATTTACTTATTTTGAACCTTAGAATTATTTTATCAAGACTTTGCTCTTTTCCTTTCTTCTCCCCAAACTTTCCAATGGTACTTTTGTTGGAATAAATAAATTGCTTTAGAAAATTTGATCTGTCTTTCAGGAATATAGTACATCATTTCTTTTTTTTTTCTTTTTTTAAGTTTTCCTTTACATCTCTTGTTAAAGTGACAAATCAATTAAATAGTTATGATTTCTTTTCTTGTGAGTCCACATTTGATGACAATCACTTCTTTTGGAGAATGTGTCCCACTAGTGTTTAGAGACCTAGCATTGCTCTTCTCGTAACTCTCTATCCTCATCCCTCTTTCTTATGCCTTCCCACATAGCAACACTGATGATATTCCCTATGATCCTGAGATATCTTCTTTCTCTTTACACTCTCCTTTTATAGATTCCTTTCTCTGTAGAGAACCCAAGAATTATTACTTAACCCAGAATATCTTTCCAGAGCATGCAGACCTTGCAGACCCAGCACCCCCTGCTCTGGATACACTGTGCAATTACCTCTCCTTCTCATCTGTTCCATGTCCAGTAGTTCAAAGCTCTTCAATGCACTCACATCAGCCAAGCTGCAACAAATCATCCAGAAGAAATTGTTTTATCTGTTATCGTCCTATAAATATTTGCATTTTTAACAAGGAACTCTACTCTGAATACCCCCACTCTTCTAAAAATGACTAAACCTTAACGGAACCGTTTAACGGTGCTGCAGGCTGGTGGGGACAGTATTTGGGAACTGATAATATTTCCATCACAACACTGATCTTTGTATCAGTTAAGGCCAATCAGGAGATGGAAACCACTTAGTAATTTGATTCGGAAAGTTTAATATACAGAATTGTTAACTTTAACAGAGAATTGGAATAACAAGGGATTGGCTAATAAGACGTGAAGAGAACTCTAAAGAATAATAGCAGATAAAAGGAGCAGAGAGATAACAGCACCCAAAGAAGAAGTGTGCCCCCTGCCCCTTCAGAAATTTTGGGTTTTAAAGAAAAACAAGAAATGCTCTTCCAGGAAAATGCTAAGCTTAGGGAAAGTCTTTAGAATACGCCTGGTCGATGGAACACGATGTAAGAGTTTGCTACATTATCCGTTTGACTCATTAACTTTGTGAATGGTTGTATCCTGTCATTCATTCATTCATTCATTCATTTCTTCCAAAAATATGTTTGGGTTCCTATCACGGGCCAGGCTCCGTTGCTGGCCTCGGGGGTAGGGTAGTGAATGATATATGGTCCTTATTATCCAGGAGCCGACAAGTTAGGGAAAGGAAATAGGGGCAGCTTGTGGGAGCAGCTTCGAGGGAAAGCGGGGCTGGGAAAGCTGGTGTCAAAGGCTGACCTCAGGGAGAAGCTGGCCCCGGGAGGAAGGCAGGAGCAGCCCGCGGAGCGCAAAGCTGCTGTTTTCTCGGTCTCCACCGCGCGGTCGGGCGCCTTGAGCGGGCGGGGCGGAGCTAGGTGGGAGGGAGGGTTGGGGGCTGGAACCCTTCACACCTGCGACCCAAGGGAAGAAAGCGAGATTCTATTCGGTTTGCAATTGGAAGCCACTCGGGGGTTAATCAGAGCGAGATTTCGACCCCTCACGCGACCGTCCTCGCTTCCTCCCTTCTAGTGCGTTTAGTAGGCACGTTCCGGACGTTAGTCCAACACCATAAACCAACATGAAATACGGCAGCAGATACGGAAACAGCCGTGGGGAGGAAATGAAAGTGGACCGGGTCGGGTTGGGGGTCAGAGTGGGGCGGCGGACCAGGACAAGGGCGAGCTGGCAGAGGAGTCGGCCGAGAATGTATATTCACTGATTTTTATTATTATTATTGTTTTTTACTGGAGCAGATAGCACGTAAAGACAACCAATCAGTCCTCTTTCCAATCCACATTGTGAGCCTCCAGCCCGAGAACTCCCGGCTAAATGGCACCGCCCCGGAACCTTGTATCACCGGAACTAGATGCCGAAGTCCTTTGTGTTACAGCCGGACGCAACGCTCACGGAACGCTTCCGGTTAGGAATCATGGCCGCGGCCGTTCGAGTGTCACGTGTGAGTGCGGGGAAAAAGCTGAAAAATTCACTGAAGAAGAAGGGGAAGATGAAAATGATATCCCCGGCTGCAGCATCGGAGCTGGAAGATAAGGACAAAGATGCTACCGATAATGAAGGTAACGTACTAGGGCTGAGTTTGGCTGCTCAGAGGAAAGGCCGGCGTGAGTTTGCGGGAAGCAGGGGATGCGAATGCATTTGCCGCTAGCCGCCCGAATTTCGTCTCCTCAGGACGGCGAAGGGGCGACTTTGGCTCCTTGAGAAGGCTTGGGAAAGTGGTGTTCAGGGAAGGATCCCTGTTGCGTGTTAAAGCTTCCAAGTTCTTTTATTAGACATTTTTATCGTCACTGTAATTAATTAAAACAGATGAAACTGCTCCTTCTTATAGCAGCAAAACGAAGCTTACAGTAGCAAGGGACGAAAGGAAGGGGGATATTTGGAATTACAAGAATGAGTTAGTTCTCATATGGAGCAAGGAGCAAAAGGCCGAAAGAGGAAGACGGATGGTATACTTCAATTTTCTTGTGCGGTAGGTGCGTGCATCTGTTGGGGAGTTAGAGATAAGATAGTAAATGAAAGAAGAGTAGGTGATTAAAGTAGAATAAATAAAAATAGCAGTTGATAACTCTCTCTCAGAGACGTTTGCTATTGAAAGGAAGGAAATATATTTTAAGGCTTTCAACCATGATGTGTCCATGCTTCTATTCTTTACCATCGTTCTTGGCACTAGCTTCTTAGGTTAAAGGGGTCGCAGACGACCCCTGACTTACTACTGCCAGTGATTGCTCCTTTGTACTGTCTAGAGCTTTGTAACAGCCAGACCTATTCTTTTATAATGTACCTCAGATCATGTCAGTTATCTGCTCAAGATGAGCCAGTGGCTACCCATCTCAGAATAACATCCAAAGTCCTTAGCCTGTGTATGATCTAGTTCAGGCATCTCTCTCATCATCTGCCCCTCTGCTCTGCCCCTTACTAGCCACATTGATATCCTGTGGTTTGTTATACATGTTAAACATAACTCTCACACCATGGGTTCTGCACTTGCTGGTTTCACTGCCTAGAATACTTTTCAGATGCTTGCATGGCTCACTCTCTCACTCACTCCTTCAGTCTCTGATTAATGCCTTGTCTGCGAGACTCGTCCCTGACCGCCCTATCTAATGTACACCACTACTCTTCTCCGTGTCTCCCTGCCTTCACTTTTTGAGTTACTACCCTGCTTTATTTTCCTCAGCATTTCTCAAACCCTCTGACATATGGTATATTTGCTGTGTGTCTCTCCCAGCTGGAATGTAAGTTCCATAAGAGGAGAGACTGCTCTGTACCCAGTGCCTAAGACAGTGCCTGCCGTGTTGTGGATCCTTCGCAGCTATTTAAGTAAATAAGTGAATAAACCTCGACTTCCAGGACTAAGAAGAAGAAACTGTCATATACTACTGCAGTCCCTAGGTAATTGGAATCCTTATCTCCTGCCAAAGGAGTTAAGGAAAACAGACTATTCATTGAGCAGGGATTGGAACACCTCCCAATATATATATATATATATATTTTTTTTTTTTTTTGCTGTACGCAGGCCTCTCACTGTTGTGGCCTCTCCCGTTGAGGAGCACAGGCTCCGGATGCACAGGCTCAGCAGCCATGGCTCACGGGCCCAGCCGCTCCGCGGCATGTGGGATCTTCCCGGACCGGGGCACGAACCCGTGTCCCCTGCATCGGCAGGCGGACTCAACCACTGCGCCACCAAGGGAAGCCCTCCCAATATTTTTTGAACTCAATAGACTGGTTCCTGTGGGGTTGTCAGAGAAAGAAATACTACTGCATTTGGAGCAGAATATCAGTATTGCTTACAGATTTAGGTGGAAAGTAGATTTCTCTATTTAAGTACTGGGTAATTTCAAGTTAGAGCTGTCCTGACTTCTCAGTGCATTATTGTAAATATGATTAGGTTCTAGGGTTCTTTTGCTATTATAGTTCAATTACATTTTGGGTTAAGAAGGCTTTTGGCTAATATAGAGACCTTATTATTCAATTCAGTTCAATGAACAATTGTGTTCTTCTGTATTCTGGTCACCGTCTGGGTGTTGAGGATACAAAGGGTGAGTAAATTCCTGCCCTAGAATTAGTCTTCGGGAAGATAGATATTAAACACAGGACTGTAATACAATGTATTGAGTATTATTAAGAGCTCATTATAAAGGTTATAGTTACCATGATCCTGGTCCAGTTAAAAATGGTAAGGATGGAGACAGAGAAATCCATATCCTATAGAACCCAGCCTAGGCGTTGCTTCCTTCTATCTTATACATATTACTTACAATGTACTGTATTATTATTTTATTTTAACGTGTCTCTCTCCTTTTGGATATAAGTTCAAGTGCTCGAACGATGTCTTATGTATCTTTATTTTCATAGGGCCTTCCTTACACATTTTGGTACTAAGTACGTTTTCTTGCTGAATGAATATGGATAAGTAAGGTGTCATTTCATCAAAGCCTTAGTTTTCTAAGTCTGGGGGTGGAGAGGACAGTTTTCTCAGACATAGGAAAAGCACATACAGTGGCATGCAGCTTCTTAAAACACATGGCTGGTTAGGTTGAGATGAATTGTTGGCTGTGGCTCTAGCTCTTCAGAGGAGTCACTGAGACTAGGAACAGAGGATAAAGCCAGATTGTAAAGGACCTTGTTTGCCATATGAAGGAAATAGGATTCTCTATTTGTAGGCAGTACGGAGCACTTGAGACCTTTTAAGCAAGAGGGCGGCACATCTTTATAAACATCACTGCTAACTGTATGGTGACTGCCATAGAGAGCCAGAACAATCAGGCAATTGCAAAACTCTTTCAGGGATTGCACTAGCAAAGTACAGGGAAGACAGAGAGAAGGTCCCCACTTGAAATGTGTTTCAGAAGGAAAGCATTCAATTTTCCAGATAACCAACTTCCAAATAAACTTGTAGCACCATAAATTTGGGGTGTACTATACTGTTAGAGGAATTAGGTAATAATAACAATAATATTAGCTTAGGTACTCTTCTAAGCTCCCTATGTATCACTTTAATTCTGACAACAACCGTGTGAGACAGGGTTATTATTATCCTCATTTTACTTACAAGAAACTGAGACACAGAGAGGTTTTATCTTGCTCCCCCAATGCACAAGCTGATAAACAAGTTGGTAAATGACGCGACCATTACTGAAGTTTGCTCTAGAGCCTTTACTCTGACCCCTAACTCCGCTGATACGGTTGAGGAACCAGGAGGATAGAGATGATCCAAAAAAAAAAAAGCTCTCCGGAAAGTAAAAGAGCAAGGGCATAGAATCTTAAGAAAGATTGGGTATGAGGAAACCTTGGTGTTGAGACAGACTTTTCTTCCACTCAGGGAGGTTCCATCACTAAGGGGTGTTTTTGTGGTCAGATTTCTGTAGCATTCCTTCTGCTGTTTTTAACTGTGTAGTCTTCATTCATTCCTCACTTATTCCAGCCTTCCTTCTTTTCTCCTAATATCCATGTATTATCTCTAGAAATGAATGATCACTTTTACTCAGTTGTATAAGAGGCACCTGTGTTTGTACTGCTTCTTTACTGTGACCTGCCTCAGTTTCCTCATCCCTAAAATGGAGGTGATAAGTGTCTCCTCAGGATTTTTGCAAAGGTTCAATGAGCTCATACATGTAAAGCATTTAATGTTTGGCACAAGGCACCTACTCATAAATATTTGGATTAATGATCATGACATTTTTTCTGATCTAACAAAACTGCTAGTCCCATCTCTTGACCACCCAATAAGCCTTCCAGCCCTTGAAAACCGTGATGTTTATAAGCTGGAGCTTTCTCCAGAAAAAAGATTAGAATTTCCTCTGGTAACCCTGCAAGGTAGCTGATGGCGTTTCTGTTTTACAGATGCGGAGACAGAGGCTTGGAGATACTGTTTCCATTGTGCCTCCCAATGGAAAACTGTTCAGTCCATAGTTGCAGGATGTTGTCTCTTAATTCTGTCCTTCTTACTCCATAATCTAATCATTTAGTCATGTATTTGTGGTAAAATTCAGGATTAATAATAGTGATTTTGACAACTATGGGTTGTCTATGCTTAGTTGTTCCATAGATACCTCACACTTAATATTTGCCAGGCTGGACAGGAATAAAGACACAGACCTTCAAAAAATGTCATGAAGAACCTAGGGGTAAGACAGGAATAAAGACACAGACCTAGAGAACGGACTTGAGGATATGGCGAGGGGGAAGGGTGAGCTGTGACAAAGCGAGAGAGAGGCACTACCAAAGAGGCACTACTCTCACTACCAAACGTAAGGTAGATAGCTAGTGGGAAGATAACTAGTGGGAAGCAGCCGCATAGCACAGGGAGATGAGCTCGGTGCTTTGTGACCGCCTGGAGGGGTGGGATGGGGGGTGGGGTAGGGGGGGGGGGGGGGGGGGGAGACGCAAGAGGGAAGAGATATGGGAACATATGTATATGTATAACTGATTCACTTTGTTATAAAGCAGAAACTAACACACCATTGTAAAGCAATTATACCCCAATAAAGATATTAAAATATATATATATATTTGCAAGGCTGAATTCATAATTTCATTTTCCCAAATACAGAAGCCAGTGAATGAGGAGGATGGACTATATCATTGTGAACTGGTGGTAGTCTGCATACCCAGCCTCCACGATCTGACGGCTGCTTACTCCTCAAGGCTCACACCTTGTCGACCCCCAGCTCGCTAGTGTCACAGTTTCTGAACTCCTCGTTCCGTGAACACATTTGCTCTCCTCCCTCCTAGCCATGCTTATGCTGTCCTAGTAGCTGCTATTTTTTCTTCACTTTCTCATAACCAGCTTCTCTGTGTCCTTTAGATTTCTACTTAGTTGTCTCCCTCTGCTGTTTCTTTCAGGATTTAGAC